AACCACACACCTGGCCCAGCACAAGACAGCTACTTTTTTTATGGATGGATTAGACAGTCATTTTCCTGTACCTCAGAACAGAGCACAACCCATTACACAGCTACATGTATTTGACATTTAAGTGCACATGTGTAAAGTCACACCAGACAACAGAACACACACTCCAAGACTACACTGAATATGACACATTAAGGCAAACCTTTAGATTAAAAAGAACAATTGTGGTAAGTAAAGTTTACAGACCACTAAATGAACTAAAAATAAAAAAAAACTATAACAACAGTGAAATGTATGTAGGAGACATAAATTGCTGATATAGACAACAAGTCAGCCGAACAAAAGACAAAGAATAAAACATTTGGCTTAATCTAGCATATAAAATATCTATTAAATCCAATATATAAAACATTCAACTACATCTAGCAAATAAAATATCTAACTACATCTAGCACATACAATATATGACTAAATCTAGTATATACAATATATGATTAAATCTGATCTACAAAATATGTGACTAGATCTAGCAAATAAAACATCTGACTAAATGCTTATACGGCATGTCTAAATCTGCATATGCTGAGATGTACTATCTGACATAAGAATAACCAATGTAGCATAAACTAGCAATATAATCTGTGTTAACAATGTTTTCCTAATACAGACTGAACAATGTTTTCAATGTATCACATATTTGAATTGCAGAGCTCTCTTTGCACAGAACATTTCTTACAGAACATTTCTCACAGAACATTTCTTACAGAACATTTCTTGCAGAATATTTCTCACAAAACATTTCTCACAGAACATTTCTCACAGAACATTTCTCACAAAACATTTCTCACAGAACATTTCACACAGAACATTTCTTACAGAACATTTCTCACAGAACATTTCTTACAGAACATTTCTCACAGAACATTTCTCACAGAACATTTCTCACAGAACATTTCTCACAGAACATTTCTTACAGAACATTTCTCACAGAACATTTCTCACAGAACATTTTTCACAGAACATTTCTCACAGAACCTTTCTTACAGCAGTATTCTTACAGAACTTCCTACATTTCTCTGCATAGAGCTTTTCTTATAAAAATCTTCATAAAGAGGTTTTTTATACAGAACATTTCTTACAATAGCATTCTGATAGAACTTCCTACAGAACTTTTCTTAGATAACTTCTCTTGCAGAACAATTCATGTAGGACATTTCTTACAGAAAAGTTAAAGCACACTTTTCTTGCAGAACAATTCTTATAGGACTTTTCTTACAGAACAATTATAACACAACTTTTCTTACAGAACAATTCATGTAGCACATTTCTTACAGAACAGTTATAACAAAATGTTTCTTGCAGAACAATTCATGTAGAACATTTCTTACAGAACAGTTAAAACACAACTTTTCTTGCAGAACAATTCATTTAGGACATTTCTTACAGAACCATTATATTACAACTTCTCTTGGAGAACAATTCATTTAGGACATTTCTTACAGAACAGTTAAAACACAACTTTTCTTCTAGAACAATTCTTATAGAACTTTTCTTGCAGAAGCATTCTTAGATGTTTTTACGTAACTATTCTTACAAAAGTATTTTTACAGAACTTTTCTTTACCCCAGAAAAATATATTCTTACAGAAGTATTCTTATAGAACATCCATTGTTGTTACCTTACTATGTATGACAGAAAGGAATGTGTATTTGCTAAATTTTCAACATACAATTTGACAAACAAATGGTCCCTTTCAAAGTAAATCCACACAGGTCAATGAAATAAGTATAATGGTGTATACCAAGAAGTGCAATGACAGAACCCCACCAAAAAAAATCTATACAAATAAACAAATATATAAGGAAGATGCCTCTAAAACTGGACAGTTCACAAACTGAAATGATATGGAGTGTATTTTACTCAAATATAAATTAAACTGAAAATGGCAAACTGAAAGATGAATATGTAACAATAAAGTATAAGTTCATTATATGGAGAACCTGCTTAGCCAAGAAGAAAGATGCTCGCCTGCTTGTCCAAGTGTCTCATGTTTAAACCCTGTATCTTCCTGTGTGGCCCCATATTGACGGAAAAAACAAAAAGACCCACTGCCCCTCCTAACAAACATGTAGCAAACTGCGACTAATAAGAAGTTTCCCTGTGAAGTCGGAGTTCATTTGCCTGAGAGGCGGGGGAACCAGCAATCTGCATCAAGTAAGCCAGATCTGTAAAAATGGAAATGCAGGCGAAACTCAAGTTCTGGAATAAGACAAAATTCTAGATGTGGATGACCAACCAGAACAAAATCACTATAATGTTGTTTGATATGGCCAAAGTATTAAATTTTCTAAGGCAGGATGCTGAGCCAGTTTTCTGGGATGTTTGCATCTGTCAGTTTTGTCTTATTTTTTTAATCAACAGTATTATAGGAAATTTTCCAAAACTTTTCAGTTCAAAAGCTACAATTTTCTATTCCATTAATTGTGAAATAGTCCACGATTTCTATATCTTACAGGAAAGTTGAACATTCCCAAATGTTTTATTTACTGTCCCAACACAAGCCAGGTAAAAGCCTATATGAAAATGAGGTGACCGGAACTCTTCCTAGCTGCCTTTTCCTGATTCCGCTCAGGTTGCTCTTTTAAGGTCTCAAACATCTGAAGTACAAATATGCTCAATTTGCTTCTTCTGCTACAAACTGTTGAAACTTTTTACAAAACTACCCTTACATGAGAAACAAAGTTAAAAGGTACACTCCCTGTGTGGGTTCTGGGCACCCATTTGGCACGGGGGGGGGGGGGGGGGGGGGGGGGGGGGATGCAGGTAATAAATGGGGATTGGTTGGTTGAAACTGACAAGTGCAGATATTGCAAGCTGTAAACCAAAAAACACAGTATGTCAGTCACACTTGTGAGGGCAAATGCAGACACAGACGACAGAGCGAGGCAAGTTACAGTAAATATCTTAAAAATTTAGCAATTACTATTCCCCAACACAGGTTTTAAAAAGAAGGTAATAAAGGTTTTGAAAATGTGGTCACGCACGCATGCACACACATGCACAAACACAAAATCAAAAGTCATGTTAGTTATTTTTAAAATGCAAACCAAACAGCTGCAGAAAAAGGAAATATCCCAGAAAAGCAATAAGCGGGTAGCAGATAGCATTTAAAAAAAGCATATGCAACATGCAAGGAAAAGAAATATCCCATGAGAAAATGTATTTATAAAAAACAATGTTAATTGTTTTCATATGCTGCTGTAGATTAGTAATTTGGCACGAGATACATTTACATGGGAAGCCTCGGTAGCACAGTGAACTAAATACTTTGCTGGCCCAAAGGTCTAGAGTTCATATCTACAATGGGGCACATTTTTCAGCTGAACTAAGGCTCCTGTGACAACCCTGCTTAAAATGGGTCCCAAGAAATGTCCAGGGAAATAAAGGTGGCAGGTGTGATGGTGACCATAACACCATATGACTCAAGTATCAATGGGGGAAAAATCATTCGTATACATCTACAGGAAGATTTAGCTAAGTAACTTAGGATGAGATATACTTATAAGTAGTTTTAGCTTAGCAATTTGGTATATGGTTACACCTATAAGCAGTTTTAACTAAGTAATTAGGGATATGGTTACATCTATAAATACTTTTAGTTAATTAAACATATGGTTATACTTATAAGTAGTTTTAACTAAGTACTTATAGTTACATCTATAAGCAGTTTTAGCTAAGTAATTTTGGATATGGATAAATCATAAGTAGTTTTAGCAAAGGAATTTGGGATGAGATACATCTCTAAATAGTTTTGGCCAAGTAATTTAGGATGGGGATACAGCTTAAATTTGCAGCTAGTATCTCCCCCATAAGGCTGCATTTTTTTTCCAGCTCTTTTGTTAAAAAGCTTATAAATGTTACTTATTTCCTTTACTTATGTTAGCTTTCTGGTTTTTTCAAAGCCTTTTCAATTCTATTTGTAATAATTTCCTAATGGTTGGTGGCTTTTGGTCAGTCGAACGAGAGTCTCATCATAAAGACTGCAGTAAATGAGACATCCACCACAGCCAACCTCCAATGTGGAGACAGCCCAACATTTAAAAAAAAATAGTTATAATGAGTGATCTAGCTCTCAATGTGCTAGCATTAATTTTTTACGACATTCTCAACATTATTAACAAAAACCACACCTCCATGCCTTAAGTTTCTCTTCCCTATCGTTTCGCTACTGACTGACCAATATTTGCATCTACACCAGCAGTTCTCAAATGTGGGTCACGACCCTTTTGTGGATCGAGCGACCCTTTCACAGGGGTCGCCTAAGACCATCGGAAAACACATATTCACTGAAGTTATGAAGTAGCAACGAAAATAATTTGATGGTTGGGGGGGGTCACCAAAACACGAGGAAATGTATTAAAGGGTCCCGGCACTAAGGAGGTTGAGAACCACTGATCTACAGAGGAAAACAGGTCACACACAACTCAACAGTCCACAGATATGTGGACTTGTCTCCGCATTTCTGATTTGGCTTGCTAAAAAAAGGAGGTCCCAGATGCTCTAAAATGATCCAAATACATTACAGAATGCAAGCATACAAGACTTTTCATGGAGGGTCTGTGTCAGAAGAAGGAAATCTGTGACGAAAAAGGAAAATGTTGAAAAAAAGTGAAATCTGAAGGAAGAAGGACATCTATAAAAAGAAATATGCGCGAAAAACAATATCTACAGATAAAGGAAATGTGGGAAAAGACTGAAATATACAAAACGTCATAAATCGGTGAGAAGAAAGAAAATTTGATAAAAGAAAAAACACCTGTGAGATATATCATTTCCAGTTCGTTCAGAAAGCTTTTTTTTTTTTTTTTTGAGTTGATGAAAAAAATAATAGACGGAGCGGGAAAAAGCTGAAGGAAGGAAATCTGAATACAGGAAGTCTGATAGTAAGTAAGAAATTTTAAAGTAAGCAACCTCAAGCAAGTAAAAGTGAAGGAAGGAGTTACCTGAAGCACTGTGGACACTGCCAGTACTGCCACCTCCAACTGTGCTCCCATGGATGCCTATTCCCGGAGAAGGAACACCAGGTGCCATATCCACAAAACTACCCACAAAGCTGGCATTGTCTCCGCTGTTGAGGACGTAGGCTGGGATGTAGTGGACGTTCTGGGGCAGGAAGGTGCCGGAGCTGTAAGGAAACTGGCAGGTGGTCCAGGAAGGCGGCGGCAACGGTGCTAAAGTATCACGATCGGCTTCAGACACTGAGTCCACATCTTCCAGATTCAAAGATGCTAGATCTGAAATAACAATTTGGAAAGGTCTGCCTATTAGTCAGATTAGAAATAATGACATAACATCAAAAAAGAGATGAAAAAATCTTTAATAATAAAATATCTAAGTTAGGTCTGGTATGAAGTTGTAGTGGTACTGCATCAAAGCAAGAACAAAAGTGAAGTTAGTGGAAACAAGAAGAAGAAGAAGGAATATGAGAATATTATGAATTCTGAATAATAAGAAAATATAACATTACATCCCAGTCAAGCACACTCTTTCATGACACAAAGCACATGGATGACTGGCAGTAAGACACAGCTATAATCAAAACAGTAACTTACCTGGATAAATGGGCGGGCCTGTGATTGCAGCAAAAAAAATTCAGAAAGGATTCATGAGGTTTGGTATAGAAACATACAAGGAGGCTTCAAGTGAACACCTCAAAGGTGCAATAGAAATTACAATAACCATGCCATTTGTCTTGTAACCTAAGAATATTGTTGTTAAGGATGTCAAGAATGTTAAGCACATCACATCATGGTGCAGACAAATACAGTAATGTCATAACGACGGTTTAAAGATGGCCACCCAACCTTTGACAGGCACCGAGGTTTTCATTTGTAGACCCGCTCACAGTCATAAAATAAGAAGTGACATCTCAAGATAACTATGTTCTGGTAGTGTTGCAGTGCTAGCTTGCTTACTGATGACCTAGTGGTTACAATATAGCCAAATCTATAAAACAGATGTCTGTGCAACATTTAAGTTCTGAAACAAGGCCAAAGTTCAGAAATGGAAGAACAAGCAGAACTTTTGCCAGAGTTTACAGCTGGTGAATTCTAAGAAGAAGATCGTATACAGGAGTTAGTCTCTCCCTGCAACACAATTTACCTGCCTGCTGAAAGCATCACACAAAGCAGTTCCAGTGACCCTCCTCATGAAGTTCAGTAAAAACTGTACTCATGAATTGAATGACATTTTCAAGAAACAAACCCATAACCTTTAGAGTGCAAGGAAAATAGCTTGATCATTTGGTCTTAAAGACTCCCAGATTTTTTTTAACTGGGCTCCTAAGTCAAATAAGTAAGTCTAAAATTGGTACAGGGAAATGTACAAGCAGTCCTATAGCAGGTGCTGCCACTAAGATGTCTTCTCTGTGCTTTCTTCTCAGCGTTCACCAGCTGTAAACTCCAGGAGGAAGATCAAGTTGTTCATTCACTTCTAGATTTATCATGCTCCAGAACCTGAGTTTTGCATGCACATTCACTTTACTGATGTGGGTTATGAATATGCAGACTTTGTTGGGGCTCTCACCTCCCATTGGACTTTGAAAGAAACACCTTCTTCTGGGCTTAAGGGATGTAGTCTGTAAGTCTATCCGCCCCCCCTCCCCCACACAATAGGGACCATAATCTCACATGGGACCACTGAGATGTGTTAATTCTTCACATGTCTTAGGCCAGTGGTTCTCAATTATTTGACCCGCAGACCCCCTCTTATTTTCAAAGGCCTATTTTGGTCCCCCTTATTTCTAGTAGTCATATTACAAAGAAAAGAGTAAATCTATGCAAGAATTGCAAACACTGAGGGTTGAGGGTGGTTTTTTTCCCCTTCCTTCTAAATGATATCACCCTTGGGGGTTCACAGACCACTGATTAGGAACCACTGTTCTAGGCCATGACAAATGAGTTGTAGTGCCCAGCTTCTTTCATGGTAACCTTTCCTTCCAAGACAATTCTTGAAATAATCTGGCACACTTTTATGCAGCTGCAGGGGAAAGTCTTGGCTACCAGGCCAATCCGAGCCTTTAATGGGTACCAGGTAATGTCCTGGGACGTAAAGGGGGTCTGCATGATGCTGACCACTTGCACACTGAGCGCCAACTGGTCTATTTAAATACAATACTAGCATCATATATCTAATACTAATGGTATTAATGCTAGGATCATATTTTAAAAGACCAATCGGTGAGTGATGTAATCAACATCATTCCAGCTGCCTTAACCATGGAAATTATCTGCTACCCATTTTAGTCTGGGTTGACCTGGGTCTGAGGCCCCATTTTTTTGGGTGGGGGGGAGGGGACTAAACCCACTGCCCCTAACAAGCATGTCTTAAAATTCTACTTATTAAGGGGGGGGGGGGTTTCCTTTGAAGTCAGCCTCTGCACAAGAGGCAAGAAACCAACTCTCGGTCAGATGCACTCTGACTGGAGGAAAAACCCCCTATTAAGGGGGCAGAAGCAAAGATCATCACAGTTTAACAAGCAGCAGAAAGTGACCAGAGGATCTGGTCCCCGTACCCAACATTCAAAGAAATGGCAGAATGGACGTATAATCAGATCACTACTGGTACCATCAGAATTAGAAGGCTGGGCTGTCTGCTGAAGATAGGGACGGAGCGCTAATGGTCATGCTCCCGAGTGCTGTGATGTTTGTTTTCAAAACAAAATTTTTGCCAATTTAAATAAAAATAAAAAGAAGAACATTTCATCACCTCCGTAGTAGTCCCCAAATATATAGTAGCACTGTTCTGAGAAGGTCAGTTTGTTGACTGTGTGCCGGATGTAGCCAGCTTTTAGTAGGTGACAAGCATATTTTCGGGCATCACGGCGGTCAGAAAATCCTTCTACATGTGTGAACAACCAATCTACTAGATCAGCACCTGTGGAATAGATTTTATAAAGGGTAGAATAATTGTATTCTTGTTTAGTTCTTCCTTGTCTATCCTGGAAAAGAGATACCAAATAGTTGTTTAAAATGTCCTCTATTTAATCTAGAGTTAATAGATGATGATGGAAGAATAGGCAAGAGTCTAAAGAGCTACAGGACTAAAGAGGTGGACAAGAATGAAGAGTTGTAAGAGAAGGAGTTGCAAGAGAAAGAAGAGTTGCAAGAGAAAGAGGAGCTGCAAGAGAAAGAGATGTCAGAGAAGGAAAAGAAAGAGTTGTCAAATAATGAGGAGTTACAAGAGAAGGAGTTTCAAAAGGAGTTACAGCAGAAGAAGAAACTACAACAAAAGAGTGTTGCAATAGAAGCAGGAGTTGCAAGAGAAGGAAGAACTGAACACACACAAAAAAAAATGAAGTTTCAACAGAGAGAAAGAACAGGGGCAGGATGAGGAGGAGTTGAAATAAAAAGAAATGCAACAGTAGAGGAAGTTTATCAGAAAGAGAAAGAAGAGGTGCAAGAGAAAGAAGAGAAGGTATTTGCAAGATAAGTAGTCATAAGAGAAGAAGGAGCCTATGAGACATAGCATGAACACGTCTCCCATGTTGAATGCTAATCCTCAACTGCTAACAATCGTTTACCTATAAATGCATTAGCTATAGTAATCTTCAGCCACATCCTGTCCCTAATTTCCAGCCCCGAGTCAGGCTGTGCCATCGCCTTCACCACGGAGGCCATGTCTGTGTTGATGGTGAGGTTCAGATCATCGAAACCTGAAACATTCAATTAATATTAAGTATGGGTTCCAGGACTCAATTTCCATTGGGGGGGGGGGGAAAGGAATAGAGAAAGACCAGACCTATTGATCATCTAACAACCATGTTGTGAAAGCAACTAATTAAGGGTCTGCTGTAGCTGAAAGGTGCAGATATCGCAGCCTGGCTGTAAATAACACAACATGTCAACTACACTTTTAAGAATGAAGCAGAAGATTTCACCACCACTATATCTTGCTGGCACCTCTGCTGACAGTGGCTAGCACAATTTTCTGCTGGCTTGGAAGTCATGGGTTCAAATTTGCAATAAGGTGGACTGTAGAAAAGTCACCATGCCTATGCAGAGTAGAGGATATGTTGTCACCTTTCCGTCTTTCCAGATGACAGTATTATACTGGGTTTTAGGAAGGCATGGGCACCAAAGCTTATGGCAATGGTGAGTTTGACTGTCAGGACCAACTCGTGTCAATTAAGGCCATGGATGAAGATTTTCCTCACCACAGCACAAATCTTGGGCAGTATTGTAGAGACCATGTGTTGACTGTGCAGCAAGATCCCTTTCTCTGTCTGCCTTATTTAGTCTAAAGGAAAGGTAACACTAAAATGTCTGGAACAAAGCAAGCTGCAGAAGCTAAATGATAAGATAAGCAGTTCCCTATGTGGGTTCCGTGACTCTATTATAGGGAGAAATCACTGTAAAATTGTATAAATATGTGCCATCTTCATAGGGGAAGTTAGCTGCTGTGGATAAGTCATTCCACTGATGTATTTGGGAATACCATTTGTCAGGGCCCAATCCCTTCCATGTGCAACTCTCATACCACCTGAAATATTGCCGGTCAATAAATTGTTCAATCTACTCTTTGTATTTTCTTTGTTCAAACTGACAACAGAAGAATACTGTTTTGATCTCACACAATTTGGGCTTTTTGTATTGTTTTTGGATGGTACGCAGTACTGGCCCCATTTTTAGGTATAACGGTTTCAGCTCACAGTAATAAATACTTTGTGGTTAGCACCAGCACTTTATATATAAACATATATATAGTAGTACTTTGTGGTGAGTACTGGCACTGTTTGTTTGGTTCTAGGAAAGAAAACTGCAATCCACTGTCATCAAACTGTCCTTCTTAACAATGTCCAAATGCCAGGAGAACAGTCTATAACAATAACTACGTTTTCACACACAAATATAAATAAATGAATACAAAAGAATGAAATCTACCACGTTCTGACTCCGGTATAGAGCTGGTTAATGATGATGAAGTGGTTGAGGTCATGTTGCTGACAGAAGGCGCGCTAACTCCCACCCGTGCTCCCATGTACTGTTCCCTCATGGCGGTCGTGTGGGCCACCCAAGCTGAGGGGTCAATTGGACGAACTGGCTCTTGCCGTGGAACAGTGAAGTAACCTTTGGGGTTTGGATCCCAGCACTTGGCGACGACTAGAACAATAGGACTGGAGAAGCAAATATGGTGTCAAATCAAAAATGTATGCCATCTTCATAATGGAGGTCTGTAAGTTGTGAAATCATGAATATTGTGCTTATCGGCATGGCACATGGTGATGATGACAATGGAGGTTATCAACAGTTGATATGTGTGTCCAACAGACTTGTGGAATATTATGTGATGCTGCCTCAATTCCTTCCGTGGTACTACTCTCACAGTATTGTTTGAACCTCAGAAGAAGAGCCAATGAATTAACCACCTGCCATAGGAATTATAGAGTGCAGATACAAACAGATAGGGAACCCTCGAGGCGTAGAAACATTATTACTACATAATAAAGAAATTGTACTGACCAGCACTCACAGAAAGAAGAATAAAGGTAGAAGAATAGGCTACATTCGTGTGTTGGAATTTGGAAGCTCAAACGAGTGCTCAAACACACGCACACAATCTAAAATAAATTTTTGTTTGTTAATTTTGACATTTACAGACTCAATTTTGACATCCGGCCGTAGGAAATTCCAAGACTCCTCTTACATTAAGTAATTTCTATGTTAATAACAGATCCAACTCTATAAAAATTCACACATCCAACTCTACAAATCTTCACAGACTCAACACTATAAATTCACAAACCTAACTCTGCACTATTTGTTGGTCCACTCTATAATATCTACAGATCCAACTCCACATTATTCAAATATTGAACTCTGTAATATTCACCTCTATAACATTCACAGGTCCAACTCTATAATATTCCCAAACACAACTTTATAATATTCCCAATTTCACTTACAATTTTCACAAAAAATAACTATAATATGCACAGGGGCAGATTCTAGAATATTCATAGTTATTTCTTCTTCTGTCAGCTCTGTGGCTAAGTCGATGTGAACGCTTTGTAATGCCGGGATGCTGGGTTCGATCCCAGCGGCAGGCCATGCGCCTTGCGTTGGTTTCGACAGTGGTATCAAGAAAGCCTACCGTCCAGAAAGCAATGGCAAACTACTGGACGTAAATTTGCCTAGAAAAACCACACAACAGCCAGGCGCTGTTGCGGTTGGTTCTGCAACATCCTGTATTGTATACGTAGCTAACAACATTTCTTCTTCTTAGAGTTTACTAGCTGTAAACTTCAGCGCAATATTTGGTTCTTCCTCTATTTTTGGACTTTGATCTTGACCCAAAAACTTGAATTTTGCATGCATATTCATTTTACAGACATATTTAGATGTAGATTATTGGTTTCTGGCCTCCTAGATAGATGCTTTTCGACTTCAAAGAAAACACATTCTACTTAGTCACCTTTCACAACATGCTTCTCAGCAGGGCAGTGGGTTTTCCCTTTCCCCACCATAATGAGGCCTTGGAACCTAGAAAGGGAATTCACTGGTCTAATTCTTTAGTATTCACAGATATAACTCTATAATATTCACATATTCAACTCTGTATTATTCACATATTAAAATCTACCACATTTACATAATCAATTCTATAATATTCACAAATCCAATTCTATGATTTTGATAAATCCAACTCCATGATATTCATATATTCAGCTCTGTAATATTCCCCTCTTTAACATCCACAGGTCCAACTCTACGATATTCACATAAAAGTTTGTTTGAATTCAATGGCTATGATCTCCGGTGGAAAATCTTCATTGTTCGTCTATTTGGACTTTGGCTTTGTACCAGTAGCTGAGTTTTGCGTGTACACCAGTTTTACTGGCTTATTTGTGTGCAGTATGTTGTTCCTTGCCTCCTGGGCAGATGTACTCCGACTCTGAAGGAAGACTATCCTATCTCTAAGACGACTGTTTCATCAGACACAATGTAGCCTTATTTGTGTGAAGGTCTCTTTACCCCATTTTTTTCTACAAGTATTACCCTTTGAGAACCCATCCAGGGCAGCCATGCGCACACTGGTTGGTGTTCAAGGGAAGGCAGGGTCAGAACTTGAGCATTCCCGGCCATCCAGGAGAAAGCCTTCGATAGGATTTCTATGTAATTCTGACAAACCCAACTCTATGATATTCACATGTTAAACTCAAATTAAATTTGCAGGTTCAAGCTAACTAACAATCACAGACTCACCCAGGTTTCTGTACAGCTTCTCTCAACGTTTTCACGGCATCATCATTGCTCATATTCTCAAAGCTGACGCCGTTGACTTCCAGAATCATATCTCCTGGCTCTACCCTCCCATCCTGTGCTACAGCCCCTCTGTAAACAAACAAACAATGTACAAGAGAAACTCCTGAAGCTGTATTTACTGTTGTCCCCATGTGGATTCTGGGCATAGGTAAAAGAACCTGGTGGATTGGGGAGGGGGGGGGGGGGGGGGGGGGGAGTCTCTCAAGGGAATTTTTTGGGTGTAAAGAAGGCTTTTAGTGGTCCTCAGCATCTTCCCACAGACACACACAGTTTCAATTTTGTAAGGTGACTAAATATTAACTTTGTATAACAAAATATTCTTCAAAAGCATCTGTTTTTACATGACACATTATTTCAAGTGCCAAATAGCATTTTTAGGATAAAAGGCCATACACCAAATAAATATGATAAATATACTGGAAATAATGTGAAATTTATAAACAAATACTTTAAAAGATAACTGCTATTTATGGTTAAAGTGACTATCTTAGCTCCCCCTTACAAAATTATTTCATGGAAAGCAATCCCCTCTCATCACCCCCTCCAACACCGATTTTTAAGGGGAGGGGGGGGGGGGGGGGGGTTTTAGTAATTAGCACCACCCCCGAATCCCTCAATTATTTGCCTTAAAAAATGTGTAAGGTGCTGATGTGAGGAGGATATAGTGGGAAAAGGGGTTGTGTGGGTGTGTTGCTAAGGCCAAACACAACAGAGCAGGAATTGTCATAACATTTCATCACTTTCTGGCTGAAATGAAATTACCAGGTACACAGCACCAGTACCATTTTTCAGCACTACTGAAATAGAAATTGTGTGGTGTGTACTGGCACCGTTTATTAGACACCTTGTGTTGAGTAGCAGTACCTTTATTCTTCTAGAAAAAAGTTGTGGCAACCACTATTCCAATTTGCCTATTACACAATAAAACAGGCACATCTCACCACTCTCTCCCTAACATGACATCACTATCTCAATTAGTTTATTCACACCTAAACATTCCCTATTACACAACAAAACAGGCTGGACAAAACATTTCAACACTCTCTCCCCAAGATGACACTGCTATCCCAGTTTGTTTATTCACACCATAAACATTCCTTATTACACAACAGAACAGGCTGGACATAACATTTCATCACTCTCTCACCGACATGAAGCCCTAATAAAGTCATTCAATGACTCACCCTTTCATGATGGACCCCACGTAAATACCTCCATCACCACCTTTGTTGCTCTGACCCACAATACTGATCCCTAAGAAATTTACTGTGTCTGAAATAGCAAAGGAGTGCAAAACAGCACAATTATTACCACATCCTATATTATCCCTTTACATTACGTGTATGCCCCAAAATAAGACCTAACCCCAAAACAAGTGTTTGCCTGATTTTTCTGGATGCTCGTGATATTAGCCCTACCCCAAATATAAGCCCTAGTTATGCCCGTCAGCCAGATGGATGCATTTCTTTGGTATGTGCAATACACACGGATGTGTTGAATTATATAGAAATGAAATTAACTCTTAGAATTATTTTAATAAATGTAGAATCTGAATTTTAATAAATGTACATTTTTATACTTAAATATTATACAGTTTCTTGTGCGTTAAAAAATAAGACATCGCCTGAAAATAAGTTCTAAGGCATCTTTTGGAGCAAAATTTAATATAAAAGTAAAAAAAAAAAGGAAAAAAGTAAAGATCCCTTTTCACGCCTGTAGGAGCATTGGGCATATGGAAAGAGCACCCATATTTTTACAGACCAATCGGCATTAGGTGGGTAATGTGGTCAGCATTAAGCCAGTCATCTTTACTTCCCCAGGACATACATCCTAGTACCCAGTTTAGGCTGGGCTGACCTGTGACGCTCCATACCACGATAAAATCTGCGCAGTCATCAGTGGGTTTCGATAGCGGTACGTTGGAATCACGGCGCCTAAGCCACCAATGCCGCAAAATGTAATATAAGACACTGTAATTTTCGAGGAAAGACAGTATTAACATATTACTTTTTACCAAACTACCACATTACATATTACCACACTTCATATTACAAAATTACATTCTGTTGCTGCTATGCCATGGACTGTTTTGCGTGCAGTGGGCAAATCAGGAAGGGAATGAGAATGAAGGAAGAAATGATTGCAGAAAGAATGAGAGCTGAACGTGTGAGAAGAAACACACTACTAAACGTATATGTTGGCTACAACGATCCTGAAATCTCATGCTCTAATTGTGGAAGACTTTTCTTAACTCAGGCGGGCAGGTCTTGTTAGTAACACTCACCATTGCCATGTGCTGTATGAGTTTCATTCCTCCTCACAGCACAGTATATCACTACTGTCTGGAAAGAGGGAAAGGTGCCAACATTGTTGCTGTTGGCACATTTCTGCCTTTTCCAGCGACAGTATTATTTTGTGCTACATCAATCAATCATGTGCCATCTCCACAGTGAAGGTTGGCAGCAATGGATCTCCAACACGCCCTGTCTCTTGTCCCTGTTGTAAACAGCAGCTTGTCCATCTCTTGATGTTGTCCTCCCACTTGTATCGTTGCCAACCTCTTGCTCTCTTGCCTTTCCCTCCAATTTGGTTTTTAAAAGCATATTTCATTGTGATCAAAGTATCTCAACTGATTTAATTTCTTTCAGTAATTCTCTTTTCATTTGTAGCCTTTATAAAACCTCTCTAATGGGCTGTTTTTGTTTCCATGAAATACAACCTATTCTTCTGTATACCCACATTTTGTGCTACAGGGAAGCAAAGGAAATTACAGCCCATGGTTTCACGGCACCCTGTTCCCATGAATGCAACCTCAATACCTGTATCATTCATGTCCCGCCTGTATACCTCTTTATACTGTAGTGGAGGCCGACTTCGATATTTTCTAATCTGGTCTTATCACTTAATGCCAAGCACTCCTTTTAGGTACGTGAAAGCTATTCAGCTGTTTCTATAGGTATGAATAAGTCCACTAGGTTCCATTACTGTAAAGAAGAGTGCTGAGAACACAAATTTGACCTGAAGTTCCTCTCCTCCATAGCACAAAGCCTGTATTGTAGAGACTGGCTCATTTTGCCTGCTTTGTTTTATTCCAAAGGGAAGTCAACACAAATACATTGGGAACAAAGCATGCTGCCGAAAGGGTTGGATCAGAAAAGCAGGAATGTTCGGGCCATGTTTTGCCCATGTAGCACAATCCCTCACTTGGCCTGCTTGTTTATTCCAAAGGAAAGGTAACACCAGTACATCTGGAACAAAGTATGCTGCAGAAGTTGTCAGATCAGAAGAGCAGTGCTGTCCACTAGTCAGTGTTTCCCTTCTAGACCAGTTACCAATCAAAGCTAAGGGTAGTTTTTGTCAAATAAAAATAAAACATTTCAAAGAAGATGAGATACCCCGTGTGGGTTCTGGGGCCCCATTGTGGGGAAAACAAGAATAGACCCACTGCCTCCCCAAAAGCATGTCATAAGAGTCGACTAATTGGGGAGCTTTCTTTGAAGTCGGAGTGCATCTGCCGGAGAGGCAAGGAACCAACAGTCTGTATTCAAGAGAATGAGATCTGTAAAACTGATGCACACGCAACACTCAGGTTCTGGAGCAGGACTGCAGTTCAGTAGTGGACGAGCAACCAGAACCTTCTGCCAGAGTTTACAGCTGGTGAACGCGAAGAAGAAAGAAGATGAGAGCGTGAAACTGGTTACAAAAACATTTCAAAGCAGAAGGAGATGACAGATACAAAACACTAGGCACTTACCCATATTTAAAGTAACTGTGATAATATTCAAAGACATTGTAGAATCTGTTATACTGCTAAACGAAGATGCCTGTGATTTAAAAAACAAAATTGCTATTTGTGGTCGACAAAAAATACTAACAACAAAACAAGACAACTAGCATTCAAAAGGAACAAAATGTGAGTAGTCTCAACAATAAAGGTTGGCTACAGTGTACCCACTGCCATCTCTGGGAATACTGTGTGGTAAGGACACAATCGGTCTCATGGACTCTGAACCCTAGTGCTTGAGGAGCATGAAATAATGAGTGCGCACGGCAATGAACTAAGGCTGATAGAATGGCTCCTTCCACTTCTCTGTTCAGTAAAGTTTACTTTCACTTGTGTAGATAGTGCAACATAACATAGCATCTATAAAGGCGCAGTTAGCATTCTGTACTGTGGTATACAGCTAGGCTGCAAAATCTGCTGTTTCTTCTTCTTCTCATTCACCAGCTGTAAACTCTGGATGTATGTTCTAGCTGTCTGTCCATTTCTGGACGTTGGTCTTGTTCCAGAACTTGAGATCTGTGTGTACATCATCAGTTTTACACCTTTTGCTTAATTGTAAGCAGACTGCTGGTCCCTTGACTGTTGGGCAAAATTTAAAGGAAACATGTCTAATTAGTCAACTTTAACAACAATGCACATGGGGGGGGGGGTGGCGGCGGCAGTGAGTCTATTTTTTTCCTCCACCCAATATGGGGCTCCAGAACCCACACAGGTAACAGCTAGGCTGCAATATCTGTGCTTTTCGGGCCCAACACAAAAATTTAGCAAACCTTTAATTAGTCACCCAATTCAACTGCTTGTTAAGCAGCGGGTCTAATTCTTCCTGGTGGCTCCCCAGGACCCACACGGAGAACTGGCGAGATTGATTCAGCAGGGCCTGGATGACTCTCTGTGGGGAGGACAAGATTTCTAATCAGGTTGCCACTGCCATTACCAGAATAATTCTTTATTGGCTAGTGAAGATGCACTGTAGTAAATAAACACTGTCTCCCATTGGTCCTGCTGTAGGAAAGGCATATTTATCTGTGGCAGTAGAAGTTAAGAAGACAGCAAGTGAAATGGTTTGCCCACTTAGAGAGAATGCCTTGTGACACCATACCATACAAAGCATACATGGAAAGAGAAGAAGGATGTAGAGAACGAGGTAGACCAAGAACAAGATGGAAGGATAACATCAGAGAAACTCTACAACAGCACGATGTGCCTATGGTCGAGGCGGCCAGAAGAGCTAGAAACAGAACCTTATATCTCCCTCGACACCCACAGCGGTAAAAGAGGAAGTGAAGAAGGAGAAGAAGAAGTAGAAGTTAATGATGAAGTATGGCAACTGATACCTTGTTGATACCCACCCGGCTAATAGGCGGAGGACGATGCCGCCGTCTTCGGCGCCGGTGGCGTCCATACTTGGAAGACATATTTGTTGAATCTGTAACTGTAGAAAACCTGAGACAAAGACACAAATATTCAGTTACACATTGAGGTTTGTGATTATGTGGAGTTATATAAACATCTTATGAGTTGCTGACAGCATAGCCAAGCAAGAAATAATTTATAGACCAAATGGAAATCAAAAAGAATCCGTCTAAATCAGGGCTATTCAACTTGTGGCTGTGGCAAAATCTGGCCAATGGCCATTTGCATATTTTTTGGAAGATGAGGGAAGAGCTAATATGCTGGAAGACCTACAAACACACAGAGATCCCCAATGGAAAGAGAAAGCCAATCACAGAAATGAATGGAGGCAGTTGATATCTGCAGCAATAAACCTCAAGGGCTTGGATGATGAAAAAGCAGCTTATCACACCTCTGGTGGCTATGAAAGGAGCTGCAGTTGTGCAGTGGTCAGATGTTTGTCTGCTGGTCCAAAGATTTTGGATTCACTCACTGGCCACACAAATTATTAACTGAAAAATTAGCCTGCTATAAGTTTCCCAAACATTTCACTGTGGCTGCTTTGAAAAAATGATTTTTCAGGCCTAATCTGATTCATGAACAAGACTTTACTCAACCTGAATATACATTATGAACAACAAAATATCTTCTCAAAGTCTTTACCATGTAGTGTTCTTCCTCTTCTTCTTAGCGCCCACTGGCTGTAAACTCCAATGGAAAGTTGTGGTTATTCGTCTAATTCTGGACTTTAGTCTAGTTCCAGAACTGGAATTTTGCACGCACAGCTGTTTTACAGATCTGTTGGTTCCCCGCCTCTCGACTTTAAATTAGTCGCATTTCACAACATGGTTTACGACATGCTTGTTAGGGGGCAGTGAGTCTATTCTTCCACCCCCCTCCCAAATGGGGCCCTGGAACAAACATTGGGAATGTGATGTTCACAACCATGCCTGCCAGTGTCCCGTGTCCTGTCAATCATTTCTGATACAGATGTTCCTCCATGACATGCTGTCACTGTCCTACATCCTGTCTCCTAGTCTTGTTCTGCCTTTGTTCCCTCAAACTTCCTGTTTTTAAGATGTAATTCAGTTTTCCCATTCTAATGATGTGCCTTTGTCTCTGCCTTTGTTCCATCAAACTTCCTGTTTTTAAGATGTAATTCAGTTTTCCCATTCTAATGATGTGCCTAAAAAATGTGGGGTGTTGTTCTAATAAATATATACAATCAGCTCTCTTCGTCCCAAGAGAGAACTGAGAACAGACAAAATGGAGAAGGGTAAACAAAAAACAATTGACATGGAGAATTAAACAGTAATTAGACAAATAAGTAAATTTAAACAAACAGCAGACACAGATTGTAAATAGAAAACAAGTCAAAGTGGAGACTGCAAACAGACAAATGGAAACAAAACAGAGAACAGACAAACATGTACGTACAGACAGACATTTAAAGCGATGACATTTACAAAACCCTGATGCTGACCTGCTGGCTGTGTCTTCCTCAGAGTCAATAAAACTGGTGGAGTCTAGATCACTGCTGAGAATGGTAGAAGATTCATACATGGCCCCTGGATGTCTGTGTCGCTCATGTTTAAGGTGACCGTGTCCGTTGATGCGTGGACCTATGGACACAAACATACCCTCTGTCAACATTTTTAACCACAGTAACCATTTGTTATATTATCGCATCAACGTCACTGCACACAATACATACCTATGCATTCTCAGTCATTCGATGCAGCAGCTATTTCAAGGTACCTCTAGTGATTGTTCCCATCAACAGCTGGTTATAATGTCTCCTATCTGCCTCAAAGGTAGCAGAGACGTGCTTTACCATGCTTTACTCCCATGTCACACAATCGCATTAGTGTCAGATATTCGCCCGCATCCACTAACCTAGTGTTGATATCTGCTCTGCCCTTGCTTCCTTCTACATACATTGGTGCTCTGCTTGCCAGTTGTCTAACTGTTTGTTACCTTTCATGACGGCATGGCCAGGTGTGTAGATCCAGGTGAGGGAGGGTTAAGAAGTGTGATTTACAAATGTTTTCTACCCATTCAGGGTATATACTACCTGTCACAAAGTAATCATTTGATGTGTGTGGCTTTTAAATTGAAAGCAAAATAAATTCAATTTGGCTTGGTCTATAAACAGATGGAAGTAGCAATCTGATTCGGTGCCGTGTGCAAACAGAAAAAATGGTAACCTGACTTTGTGAGATTTGTACACAGATGAAAGTAACAATTCGATTTTGTTTGGTCTGGTCTGAAAAATGTGAAAGCAGAGTAATACAAAACCTTGGCAACATAATTTCCAAAGTGCAACAAAAATCAACAGTTTGAGTTTTTGTTTCCATACATCCACTCACTGAGCTGTCCCATTACTGAATTGTATGTACTTTGAGTATGACACCTATGAGTATACATAGACATTTCACACAGTAGTCTTCCCAGGTTGTGAAGAGCACCTCCTCATCTTTCCTCGGTAAATCAAACACCTCCTTGAGGTAATGCATCACCTTAATTAGCTCAGAGTCAACAAAGAATTGATCCTGGAGAAGGGTGTGGAGAGAAAAATAAGTTTCAACAAACTATACAAAGATAACAGTTTTGTGTCTAGCTAACTGCCACCCTAGAGCAATAAAAACATATCTGTCATGCAGGGATGAAATGAAAACAAAAATAAACAGAAGGGGTTGATTATTTTTTTTTAATACACAGGGTAGGAGGAGAGTTGGCACTTGTTTGTCTTTCATTTGAGCTTGTATTTTGGTGTTTATGGGGGAGATGGGTAGAGAGAGAAAGTAGGAAGGAATAAGAGAAGTGAGGGACACTGCTTTGAGGAGATGGAGAGAATGGGGAAGACAGAAGACAGCGAAGAAGTGACTTAACAGAAAGAAAAAAAGGTGAAGAGAAACTGGTTGATGTGGAAATAAAAGAAGTAAAAAGAAAAAGATGTAGAGAGTGCGAGGGAGAGAGAGTCACAAAGTGAGAGTGATAGTGAATGTGGTAAAGTGAGGACACCAAGGGATAGACAAATCACGGAGAGAGAGAGAGAGAGAGAGAGAGAGGGGGGGAGGGAGAGAGAGGGAGAGGGGAAGAGAGAGAGAGAGAGACAAAAAAGAAATGATGCAGTACAGAAGGATAAAGGTGCTGTGAAGAGAGGGGAGGATGAGGAAATAGACAATATGGGAACAGATAATGTATCCTTCCCGCTGTGTTCTTTAAATCCAAACCCCTGATATCCGATCTACCGTTTGGCCCGCAGCGCTAAAATTCCGTTCTTAAAATGAAGACGCTGACTCTCCAACTAACGGGAGTTGGCGCGTTCGGTGGCTTGTCGTAATAAAGTAAAGGACCCATTTTTGTTTTACAAGCCTTTCAGGCGTATGGGGCGTACAGGACAAGAACTCAGGAGGATGATATGCTCAACCTCACGTCGGCCGCCTTGAGTTACCAGGACTGTATCTGGTACTTACTCAATTAAGGCTGGGTGGACCCAACCTGACGTCGGCCGCCTAGATTTCCCAGGACTGTACCTGGTACTTACTCAATTAAGGCTGTGTGGACCCAACCTGACGTCGGCCGCCTTGATTTCCCAGGACTGTACCTGGTACTTACTCAATTAAGGCTGGGTGGACCCAACCTGACGTCGGCCGCCTTGATTTCCCAGGACTGTACCTGGTACTTACTCAATTAAGGCTGGGTGGACCCAACCTGACGTCGTCCGCCTTGATTTCCCAGGACTGTACCTGGTACTTACTCAATTAAGGCTGGGTGGACCTGGCAGCCAAGGTCATTTCTGAGAAAAGTCAGGATCCCTCAGGACCCGAACCCACGACCGGCAGGAGAAGATCTATTTGTTAAATCACGGCGCCCCCCCCCCCCCCCAAGCAGCTTGTGGCAGGTTTTTTTTTCAAGTGAACGACCCTCACTCACTGCCCTTTCCCATCGGGCATATGGTGCTAAACCCATCCTTCCATAAATCAATCGGTACTCCATGGTTTATGTGCTCAACATCACTCCACCCGCCCGTGCTATTTACACAAATCCATTCTTTTTATTTTATTTTTTTTATTTTTATTTAGTCGACCAGGGAATTCAGGTCGCTTTGTAAAAGAAATCCATCCCAAGGCGGATTCGAACCCATCACCTTAGGGTCGGCAGGCAAGCGTCTAGCCAGTGCACTGACGCAGTTCCCTGTTTGTTTTAAAGTCTGGAATAAAATCCCAGACGCGCAGTGTCCCCCCCCCCCCCCTTTTCTGTGTGTTCCGGTTGCCTATTTCCCCCCCCCCCCACGTTGTACACTATTCGCTTATTAAAGGATTTGCTGAAATTTGATGTGATCGGTCGAAAGGTGTAGATATCGCAGCCTAACTGTAAACAACACAATGTGCCAACCGCCCTTTAAAGAGCGGAACACAAAGTACACAAATGTTCGTCTGCAAAGTTCATTTCCCGCCGGTGAAACGGTGCAGGCGCGCACAGGGCTTGTGGCAGAGACATTAGTGTCATTAACTATTAAACCTCTCCGTGAAACCGGCCGTCCTGCCAGCTCTGCAGGAGGTAGGGTTTATCAGCTCAGTTTGATCACAGCATCTGCGCCAAACACTCTCGGATTGAGCCAAGTACCTCGGGATAACGCGGCGCATTTGGCCAGGTTCAGTCTGTGTGCCAGCGAGAAGGAAGAATGGCCGCCTGCACCAGCGACTATTTAGTTTTGTCTGTAAAACGACCTAGCTTGACATCGAGGATTCCTTAAAACTTCCAGGGCAAGGGAACTGCATACTCTAAATCTGTTGCGAGAATTCCTCGTGTGAGTTCCAGAGCCCTGATGGAGAAGGGGAAGGAGGGGGAGGTGGGTGGGGGGGGGGTGTAGAATCACTACCTCCCTAACAAGCATGCCGTAAAAAGTAAAGGTGGCTAATTAGGAGGTCTGCTGAAATCTGATGTGTCAAACCAGTGGTTCTCAACCTTCCTAATGCCGCGGCCCTTTAATACAGTTCCTCATGTTGTGGTGACCCCCCCCCCCCCCCCCCCCCCCCCCAACAAAAAATTAATTTCGTTGCTACTTCATAACTTCAGAGAATGTGTGTTTTTCGGTGGTCGCGACCCACAGGTTAAGAACCGCTGTGTTAGGCCGAAAGCCTAGCTAACTTAAAACACAACATAACGCGTCAACCGCCCTTTAAGGGCGAACGCAGAAGAAGAAGAAGAAGAAGAAGAGGAGTGAGGAAGAAGAAGGAGAAGAAGAAGGTTTGAGAGGGCCTAAGACAAGCATATATAACACATAATGAAGCAATGCGTGTTTTGGCTATATCATGGTTAGTTGCGTATCCTTTACAGGGCGTTACAGAACCAACCCCAACAGCCCCTGGCTGTTGTGTGGTTTTTTCCAGGCAAATTTACGTCCAGTAGTTTGCAACTGCTACTGGACGGTCGGCTTTCTTGAAAAAAAGGTTGTTGCGTATCCTTTACAGGACGTTGCAGAACCAACCCTAACAGTCCCTGGCTGTTGTGTGGTTTTTCTAGGCAAATTACGTCCAGTAGTTTGCCATTGCTTCTGGACGGTCGGCTTTATTGATACCACTGTCGAAACCAACGCAAGGCGCATTGTCCGCAGCTGGGATCGAACCCGGCATCCCGGCATTACGAAGCGAAGTGTTCGCATCGACTTAGCCACAGAGCCGACGGCTTTATCATGACGAGAGCAATATTGTAACTCGTGATAATTGTAGGGAAAGGGAGATAGAGGAAAGACGGTCAGATGAGGTTGCTGGCGGCTGTTTGTTATGACAAGGAAAGATATCAGCATACGAAATGATCAGTCCCCTGCGATAGTTTTTTTCTCAGTATGATGCAAGCCGCCCCTAATAACTTCGCGCGGTCAGATCAAAAGTTTCAACAGTATTTTGATTTCGTTGATTATACAGTCCTCTTATGATGCCGCATCTTTGTATCATGGCATAGTGGTGGAAATTATATAAAGAAGAAGAAGAGGTGGAGAAAGAAGGGGGTCGGGCAAGGTAGGGCGGAATTGTTTTAAATAATCCGACACATATTAATTAGATACATACTGACATACCGGTACCGATGGGATGATGTATACACGGATTATGTGACTGTACACCTATGACGTGACATAAAATCTTATATATGCACACGTGAGGTGACACGTAGAGTGACGCGACACGTACATATAAGACCTAACATGTGCACATGTAACGTCACGTATACATATAAAACCTGACACGTGCACAGGCGACGTCGACGTAATATGTAGAGAAGACGTGAGGTACTTTTCAGCTTATCACCATCTCGTTGGCTACGAGATTTGGTCAGGAATTCCTAGAGAGATACCAGGGACGTCCTATAGTTTAGAGGGGTTATGGCTAGTTTCTTATTCTCCTTCTTCAGTTCGCCCGAAATAGATTATCTACAAGGTCCGACGATTGAGTAATGAGAATAATTTTATTATGGCCAAGACAAAAATGCCATCTATGAAGCAAAGCATGGAATCTAAAGAGACAATATTAATCTATGATCTAGCAACTTTTCATCACTGCTCGATAAGCAGACACCAAACATTGTTTCACTGTGAAGATCTTCTTCTTCTTCGCGT